AGAGTGTTGCCTTGAGTTGAGAGAAAATAGTACCACCAAGTCTGTTCCGTCTTTTGGGTATATGAAATTTGGAGAGCCGTGTTAAACTCGGGGGGCATTCGTCTATTATAACGATTACACACATCGAGGCGAATTCGCTTCTAAGGCAGTGGATTACCACGACACGATTATCATTCTGATTGATTATTTTATTTAATATTTTTCAGTCAATACTAACGCCTCATTTTGCAGCAGTCTATTTTTTCAACAAGAACCACTCATGTTTTGAGTGCGACCGAGTTTAGTGAGGCTATCAGCCACCTTTTTGCTTCTCGATGGATAAACCCCAATGAGACTATTAAATAGCGATTTAGAACAGGGTATTAAATAGCGGAGCGCAAACGTGATAGCAGTTGCTATTTCGCGGTAGCGCCGTCATCCGATACCGCTATTGTCCAAAATAACGGTGTGAAGCAGAATCACACCGATAACGGCCGATTGCGGCCACAACTTAACGGGTAACGGTCGATCACGGTGATAACAGACCTTTATTCTCGTTATACTCAAATCAACTACTGAAACCCACAGATTTTCTGGGTTTTAGAGGGAAGAGTAGAGCTTGGAAGAAAGAAAAAAGAAGGAAAATGACCAGACCCATACCTGTTTTTGGATAAAAAGAGGGGAAAACATGCGAACAGGATGTTCCAATTGATGATTCTTCAACAAAGAAAGAACAGTGGAAGCTTTCAACAACACATCTACAAGAAAAAAATGAAATTTTTTTATGAAAATCACAAACGAAAAATAAATATGGGAATCCAGTTTTTCTGATTTTGATGTGTATCTCTGCCTCCCTTATCTCACGAAGAGATAGAAGAAGAAGAGGCTTGGAGATTTAATAATTTTTATTTTATTTATGTTTTAGATTTAAATATTTTTTTACTTTTAATTTTTTGGGTTTGGACCAAAAGAAATCCCAATAAATTAATAAGATTTGGGTTACATGTTACGGGTTTTTTTGTTAGGTTTATTTTAGTTTTGTGAGTTTTCAATTTTAATATGTTGTTTTTGGTAAATGAATAATAATGGATAATTTTATGGCTTAACTTTTTTAAATGATTATGATTTATTTTAAGAGATTGAATGTTGAATTTAAATTTTATACACTTAAATTATTTTTATTATTTATTAATTTATGTAATAAACTTACTTTTCTTCACTATTAGTAAACGTTTATTATATTTTGTATTATATTAGTGATAATAGAAGTAATGAATTGTTTTATATTTATAAATTTTAATTTTATGTTTCTTGTATAATATTTTTAAGAAATTTATAAATAAATATAAGAATAATTAATGATGCTAAAAAATTATTCTAATGTATTAATAAAAGTTTTTAGAAGTTAATAAGTGTTAGAAAACACTCTAAATATCATTAAAATTGATATTTTATAATTATAATTTATTATATTTTGTAATAAGTTGTGTGAATTAAAAAAATTCACATCCACGATACCTGCAATGATCGTGATAGCATTCGTTACGTCCGCGACCGTGATAAACGCAACGCGCCAAAACGCTGCCAAGGCACGATTTGAATCCCTGACTTAGAAAACCTCGGATCCTCCTTATAAGTGAGGATTCATTGAGGGATGAACTGTGACGCTACTGACCACTTCTTTGCTGTCGAGCTCAACTTGAATCTGGTTTGTGCCGAGGGACCAGGCTAGATCGAGTCCACCAGAGCTCAGCCTGAAGGGCTGAATAACGTTATATTCTTCTGCTAAAATCGACAATCCAGTCACCGTTGTTGTTTCAAATAACTCCACCACATGCAGCTTTCATCGTCGAGGGATTCATGGCGCCGCCAGTATTAAGCTTGAGGGATCCAAGCTCGGGTGCTTTTCCACCGAGTGTTGCCAGCTCTAGTGGTCGACCGAGTAGCATAAGTGGTTTGATAGATCTTGGCAGTTTGAGCCCAAGCTTTTACCGACAGAATGGTGGCCGTATACGACCAAATTTGGCCTTGAAACACAAAGCCATTTCGATTCTTCCATAATCACCGAATAAGAATACCGAATAACTGTCTCCAGTTATACTATGGAGTGTCCAAACCTGCACTATTAAATCGTAAAAATTAAGAGTTTGGGGGGGGGTTAATTCTACTAATTTTAAAATTTAAATGTCTTATAAAAATAATTAAATCAGATAAATTTTGGGTCAAGACTTGATTTTATTAATTTTAAAACTGACGGTATTTAAAAAATAATTATACTAAGATTTTTTTTTGGGGTGAAAGACTTAATTGTATTAGTTTAAAAACATCCAATGGCCTAAAATGTAATTAGTCCGTCAATGTAGGTGTCCCATCCATAACGTGGCTTCGTCCCTGATTGCAGTCTATGTCGACCTTACGAAACCCCTTGTGTGCCCAAAGTGGTGATAGAAAATAAGGTCCAAATAGTGGAATATGAGAACCTTCCTCTTATCTGCTTTGCCTGCGGCCGCTTTGATCATCTAAAGGAAGCGTGTAAACCCTGGGACAATGGCCAGAATCCTTGTTTTCTGAACCATACTTCAAATTCTAACAACCAGCGGTCCAATGTTGTGGGAGATGGAAACTCTAATCATGCGATCCATAAAGAAGTTTCAGACGATCAGATGGGGAAGAATTCTGACCCTTACGGCCCCGGGATGGTGATTGAACGCCACTGTTGCCGACAAGCTCCGGGATCGGCTGAAAAAAAGGATCAAGCCAAGTCAAACAAGGATTTCGGGTCACGGTTTGAGGCCCTCAAGGAAACAATTCCAACAAAGTAACTTTCAATCTTAACACTGACGGATCCGTGAATCCTGCGACAATGGAAGCTTATTCTTATAAAATCGATCCTACTATCGTGAAACATTATCTTATAAAATCCTACTAAACATTTCAGTATCCTTGGTGAAATTTAATAGGACTTTTAATACCAAAATTTCTTATTGATTAACTGTATAAGTTGTTTAGATAAATTGTCCCTAAAGAACTTTAGTTAATTGTCTTATTAAGGTATGTAAGCTTATTCCATTTTTTTAATGTCTTTGCAAATATTTAATACTTATAGATTGGTCGAGATTGCATTTAGGGCATTGCAAGTAACTCCGGAACTAATCAATACAAATGTTTAATGCTCAAACTCTATGTGCTTTGATTAATTAGTTTGTGCATTGTTTATGAGCAAAAGTATATAAATAAATGTCATTGACGTTTGATTGGTTTTACCTTAATGATAAATTGTTGAGTTGAAATGCATAATATCGATGTCGGTTTATTTATAATTGATTTTTTAATAGTTTAGGGTGATTATAAAGTATTACTCATTTAAAAAAATTAATCAATTGATAATACATACACCCTGTAAATGTAGTTGCTCAAACCCAAAACTTTTAAGGAGAATTACATTATCTTTTGTTATTGAGGTCACTTGACAAATTCATTTATTTATAATTGTTAAATGCAATTAGGCAAGAAAGATAAGAGTAGATAATGTGTGAATGTTCTATATGTGTTTGCAAGTATAAAGTTATGTCATTTTAATGCTTATAAGGTTAATGGTGCTATTTTTGAAGTTAGTGTAAATGTGTGCTCATAATGTACATGTATCACTGCATCGATTGCGGATTTCACGACTTTCACATGGTAACTATCAACTTTTATATGGTACGTTCAAGCCTATAAGCTGGCTAGATACGAAAGTCCTACTGTAAATTATTGTTGGAGCTCATGCAGTGATGGCAAAAGGTGGGATCGTAGGGCCTGCTGGGTTGAACATGGTTTCCCTTGCTGCCAAAAGGCATGCCGTTCCATTGTTCGGCCTTCGTGTGAAGCTCGTTTATGTCCGTCAACGATATCCATTCGTTATAATGCTCGACGGTTATGTTTGGTTCATCTAAACAATGCCGAAGTGTTGGCGAATGAAATGAGATCACCACTAGAACTCCCCATTTGTTATAATACTCGACGATATCCACTTGGTATGGAACAAAGACAACAACATATAGCAACACAATTGGTTGTCTTATTCGGTAAATCGTGGTTGTGGTTGTATCTTCAGTTGTAACGTGTTTATCGCAATTGCAGCAATAACGGGTGTTATTGCTGTCATTGTGAGTATAGTTGTGCAATAACAATTTCGAATGATACCTTTATTGTTATATAACGGTCGTTAATAATCAATCGCTATTTAAATCCCTGCTCAGTATTTCCAAAAAATCCCCGAACTTGGCACTATTATGGAGCTGCTCGTACTAGGTTTAAATATTGGGAATATTGTAGGCAAGAAAAATTTTAAAAATGAGGGTGTTTGAGAATTATTTTGAGATCTAGGTCATTTACTATAATACACGGGAAACTTGACATGGGGGAGTGACGAGTTTTGTGAACTATATTAAAAAAATCAAACTAATCATATGAACTTTTAGAAAATTGTATGGAACTCGTCATGTCTTCGTGATGGGTTTAGATTATTTATTATATTTTATGAAACTCGTCACCCCCTTATGACAAATTTCCTATCTACGGTAGCAAATGAACTAGATCCTAAAATAATCTTCAAACATCCTTATATTTTGAATTTTTCCCCACCTCCAATATTTGACCAATGGAGCCTTCTACCAGTGTTATAGTCATTAACAAAATAAAAATATTTTTATATCATAAAAAATTAATGATTAATTTTACATTTTATATAAATATTAAGATTTAAATTTGAAATTAGTCCTTTTAACTAATGTATCATATCATCAAACAGACATCCCTTAACGATTCAATGACCGTAATATAATAAATCAATAACATAAGTGCTTGTAATGTAACTTCTTCAAAAATGGTGACCAAAAGCAAATAGACTTAAAAAGGGGACTACCAGTAGTACTGTTTACCCAAATCAAAATCCTATACAATTCACACAAATAAACGGAGATAAAAAGGGGGGAAAACGCCTGTTCGTGAGAGAGTGCTATCATTCATCATCTCTTCCATTTCTATGAATCACAACTTTCTTTCCTTATTTTCTCACAGCAATAAAGTGAAGACACTAGTTTTTTCATTTTATTATTATTATTACTATTATATTATTATTTATTTTTATTATTATTTATTTATTACAAACATGCCCATTTACAATTACAAATCCCGGAGCCCAATTACCATCAGAGGCCCAGACCCCGATCCAGTCTAGAACCAACCAACAGATAACCCAAACCCTCTAGGATTTGTATCATGTCTGCTAGGGTTTCTAACCCTAGCGCCGCCGTCGCTCCAAGCTTCCAGACGCTTCAACCTTTGCTGCCAAGTGCTCCAACCGCCACTGCCGACGATGCCACTGCCAGGTGCCTCAGCCAGCTTCTACCACCCTCTTCGAAGCCTCCAGAAGACCCAGATAGCCACCCACGTTGAAGCTCTATGGTGAGTCACCGCCATAGCTTGGTGACTCACTGAAGACCGCTCCATTATCCGGTCCGAAGGGCGTACATGGTGGCCTATAAATATGGCCACCAAACTTGCAAAAAAAAGAGGCGAGCAAGAACCCGAGAGCAAGCAAAGAGGACAGACCAACGACAAACTGCAAAAACCACACCAACAGCAAACAAAATCCACAGCAACAAAATAAAGAAAATGAAGAGAGAAGAACTTACGACCATCACAGCCCTCCAAACCGTCTTCGAACCCTTGAAAACCCGAAGGTATAAAACCTAGATCTAGGAAATTCTAGAGGGATTTAAGAGAAATGGAGTTTGGATTTGCCTTTGGGGATTTGAGATCTATATTTTAGGGTATTTTGAATTTTCTGGCCACCGATGACGGTGGCCGGCGGTGACCATCGACGTCGGAGCACGACAGCCGATCGATGCCCGGGATCTCTCCGGGCGAAGGGTTTTAGGAGAGAGATGAGAGAAAAAAACATTCTCTCTCTAAGAAAGAATAAAAGCAAATGGCCTGAATGGTCGATTGAAAGGGTATTTAAACCCCTCCCCAAACGATGCCGTTTTGGGGAGGGTATCTGTGTAATTTCCCTTATATGAAAACCTCGTCCGTAGTCACTCCTATTTTGTATTCTTTACAAATTAGTCACTGATATCAGCTTCTAATTATTCTAATTTGGTCGTTATATTTTAATTATTTATAATTTAGTCATTACCTGTATTTTATACATATTTAGGATAAATATCACATTTAGTCCCTAAAATTTTGATAACATTTATTTTAATCCCAAAATATTTAAGTAAGGCTAAATTCGAATTAGGTCTGTGAATTTTAATATTTTACATTTAAATTATATTTTTTAATTATGTTTATTTTAGTCCCTAAATTAATAATAAGAAAAATAACATGTTTAGTCACTGAAATATTAAATAATTAATTATGATTTAGGATATTTAATTTTAATATATTCTAATTTAGTCATTAATTTTAATATTTTCAATTACAAGTTTTATTGCTTTATATTTTAAACTATATAGTTTTAATTTTATTTATTTTGGTCATTATTTAGTTGTATTTCAATTTTATATGTTTATTTTTAATACATTTATTATATATATTATTATTATTATAAATATCTATATAATAAATAATATTTATTTTTTTTTTTTATTTTTAAGTTTACAAATTACTTTAAAGAATTATATTTAAATATATATTTATTTTTTAAATATTAAGAAATGACAGTCTTAAAGCAACTTAATGTCCATTTTATGATATTTTTAAATAAATAAATATATTACTTTTTTAAATTATATCTATTTTTTATTTATAGATAAATGTTTTAATATTTATTTACTTTTTTTAATATTAAGAAAAGAGTTGTCTTAAAGCACCTAGAAGCCCTTTTCTGATATTTCTAAATAAATAAATATCTTATTTATATATATAAATTAATAGATTTTCTTAAAATTATAAATTCATAATAGGATTATAAATTAAATACATCTTTGAATATTTAAATTTCTAATAATAAAGACAATTTATAATTAATAAAGTACCAATCTTGGGCGTTGTGGGGGTGTTAATCCTTCCCCAAACGTAATCGACCACGAATCCCTTTTTATTATTAAAAAGAATGAATTTTTGGTTAAACGCATATCAATTTATTTTTTAAATTATGTTTTCTTAAAAACTATTTTAAAAATTATTTTAGGTAGTTGACCTACCTAAACCAAAAAGGTCAATGACTACTCCTAAAATATTCTAAATCAAAATCATTTATTTTTTCCGCTAAGTAAAATTTCGTCCCGAGCGAAAACCGGTTACTATTTATTTAAATTTCGTTTCTTACCTGTATTATGTTTTCTTAAAAACTATTTTAAAAGATTATTTTAGGTAGTTGACCTACCTAAACCAAAAAGGTCAATGACTACTCCTAAAATATTCTAAATCAAAATCATTTATTTTTTCCGCTAAGTAAAATTTCGTGCCCGGGCGAAAACCGGTTACTTATTTATTTATAATTTCGTCATTACCTGTATTTTATACATATTTAGGATAAATATCACATTTAGTCCCTAAAATTTTGATAACATTTATTTTAATCCCGAAATAATTAATTAAGGCTAAATTCGAATTAGGTGTGTGAATTTTAATATTTTACATTTAAATTATATTTTTTAATTATGTTTATTTTAGTCCCTAAATTAATAATAAGAAAAATAACATGTTTAGTCACTGAAATATTAAATAATTAATTATGATTTAGGATATTTAATTTTAATATATTCTAATTTAGTCATTAATTTTAATATTTTCAATTACAAGTTTTATTGCTTTATATTTTAAACTATATAGTTTTAATTTTATTTATTTTGGTCATTATTTAGTTGTATTTCAATTTTATATGTTTATTTTTAATACATTTATTATTATTATCATTATTATTATTATTATTATAAAAATCTATATAATAAATAATATTTATTTTTTATTTTTTATTTTTAAGTTTACAAATTAATTTTAAAGAATTATATTTAAATATATATTTATTTTTCAAATATTAAGAAATGACAGTCTTAAAGCAACTGGATGTCCATTTTCTGATATTTTTAAATAAATAAATATATTACTTTTATAAATTATATCTATTTTTTATTTTTTAGATAAATGTTTTAATATTTATTTATTTTTTAATATTAAAAAAAGAACTGTCTTAAAGCACCTAAAAACTCTTTTCTAATATTTCTAAATAAATAAATATTTTATTTATATATATAAATTAATAGATTTTCTTAAAATTATAAATTCGAAATAATAGGATTATAAATTAAGTACATCTTTGAATATTTAAATTTCTAAAAATAAAGACAATTTTTATTATTAAAAAGAATGAATTTTTGGTTAAATGCAAATCAATTTATTTTTTAAATTATGTTTTCTTAAAAAATATTTTAAAATATTATTTTTAGGTATTTAAACTACCTAAACCAAAAAAGTTAATGGTTACTCCTAAAATATTCTAAATCAAAATCATTTATTTTTTCGGTTAAGTAAAATTTCGTACCCGGATAAAACCGAATAAGACAGCCGGCAATAAAGATTTCAATTTTTCTTCCCGTTAATCCTAAGATGTCTGTAAAGTCTCACATAATTACAGGATTTATCAATCCTTTCAAACCCACTGCTTCTTCTTCAAGCTCTGGGAGTAGTAGCAGCAGCCTCTCTTTAGTTAAGAAACCACTCACTTCCTCCTTCTTCAACGGCGGAGGTACTCTTCCTTTTGCCTCTTTCTTTCTTTCAATTTTAATGGGTATTTTCTCTTTTTTATTTTTAATATGGTTAATGAAGTGTTTTTCTTTTTTCCTCTTTTACTTGCCTTTGGAGTAAGATTAATATTGGAATTTGGAACTAAATTTTGTTTATTGTGATGAGATATATTGAACTTATGCTCTCCCCCTAAAGAAATGAGCTTTGATTGTTACCGTAAATCTAGAGCAATTGTGTCTTTGTCTGATTTGAGAAAAGAGAGTTGCCAATGAATGTGTATTTGATAAGTATATTGACTAGCCTGCTAACTTAGCTCAAATGGAATACAAAAAAGGATTTTTAAAGCTGAACTGGTTGTATCGAAGATCACATTTATATATTCCGTGAGCGAAGGTAAAGCTTAGTTATTTGGTGAATCAAATGCGTTCTTGAAGACATTAATATATTAAAGCACAAACGGTTTACTGAATAACAGCAGTTGAATGATTTACGTTTCAAAAAAGATAAATCAATTCTATGAAATAAAATACTATTGATGAATTTGTCAGTTCTCCAGCAATAAGTGTGCTTGGCTTGGGTAATGAGATTTTGAATTGGTAGTCATGCGAGCCACCATCTTTTCAGCCTATTTTCTTCCTCCCATTTTTCTATTGATTTGACTGTTTTATTCACATTTTGGCTGAAGAAAGGGAGTGTAAGGTAAGTTAGGAACTCCTGTGAAAAACAACATTTTCTCATTCTAATACATGGCAATACTAAATTCAAAGGACCATCTAACATCATCTAAACAGGGCTAAATACAAACATTTATAATAGGTTCAATCTATCCTTTAATATATATTTTTATTTTGTAAAATAGCGGCTGAACTAAAAGTTACAAGCATAAGGGCCCTTCCGGGAAGATCTCATTGTCAAACAAGGTGGAGGTGCTCTTGGTACGCGCATGAACCTTTTTGATCGGTTTGCTAGAGTTGTTAAGTTCAGAGTTTGGGAACTGTTCATATATAATTCATGTAATGGTATCATGGCTTCTGATTCCAACTTTTGGTGTGTTATATCAATAATTCACTTATTTCTCTAATAATGGCAGTCATATTCAAATTCAATCTTAAGTTCCGTTGAAGACCCTGAGAAAATTTTGGATCAAGCTGTGCTTGAAATGAATGATGACTCAGTGAAGATGAGACAGGCCACTGCACAAGTAAGCCTCATAATTTTTTACATCTTGTATTTCATTTTAAAGTTTTCTTTTGGTTCCTTTCTTTTTGTTCTCATAATTTCCTTTTTATCATCTTCCTTTTCGCTGTTTTTTGTTTTCTTTTATTCACTTTTATTCATAATTGCAAAGCATATGTACTCAACTGTGGATGCCTATATGGTCTTAGAATCCTATTTGATGTGTTATTCTGCAGTTTCAGTGTAATTTTCTTCCCACGTTACTATAAATGTGATCTTTCTTCTTCTCTCTTTTTGAAGGTATTAGCGTCTCAAAAGCGGTTGGAAAACAAGTACAATGCTGCACAACAGGCTTCTGAAGAGTGGTAATTGTTTTAAGGGGTTTTTTTCTTTAGTCTGTGAAATATGCTGGTATTTAAATGTCCCAGTTAAGTTTTGATTTCATGTAGGTACCGCAAAGCAGTTGGCTCTGCAGAAAGGAGAAGAGGATCTTGCATGTGAAGCCCTCAAGCGGCGTAAATCTTTTGCTGTAAGATGACTTCTTGCTAGAAATAGAGTTTCTCCGAGGACTCGTATAAAATCATTCCATATCTACAATTTCTTACTCCTCGAAATTTGTAAAAAGAACATTAGTCAAGCTTTCTTCCAATTATTTGATTTCACAGGATGACAGGACACTTAAAATTTGATATGCAAGTTATAAAAATTTCCCTAGTCAAGTCTTTCCCTGAACTATCTGTGGCTTTTTAAAGGATTGAGGAAACCAAAAAGTTAAATTAACAAATTTAGCATAGTTTATCCATTGATTGGAGTGACTATATTTTTAGATTTTACTAAATTTATGTAATGAGAAAGTTTGGTTTGGGTTGGCAACAAAGAATAATCTGATCAGATTTACTGGGCTTGGGATGTTATGGTTCTAGCAGGGTTTAAAATAGCGGGACGAAAACGTAATAGCGTCCACTATTTTGCGGTAGCGCCGTCGTCCGAAACCGAAATCCGATAAAATAACGGTGGGCAGCGGATTCACGCCAAAATCAGTCGATCACATCCGCAATCTAACGGGTAACGGTGAATAGCGCCGATAACGGGGCGCTATTACCGTTATCTACCGTTAATAACGGTGGTCGACGATCGAGAGGCTTGGAGCCTCCATGGTGAGCGTCGTTCGTGAGATGAGAGGGAGAGAAATAGAAGAGATGAAGTACACGGGGTATTGTTTTAGGTTATATTAATTTATTTTTTGGATTAATTTCATTTAAGTCCCCCATCTTTAGCCGCATATTTGTATTTTTGTCATTGAGTTTGGACTATTATGAATTTTATTCTGGATCATAGGGTCTAATAATGATAATTTACCTTATTGTTTTGCTCAGTGTTTATTAAGAAGTTTTAGGATTAATCCTTCTTAGGTCCCTAACATTTATGCACCTTTTTATGAAATAGTCACCCCTTCCTCATTTTTTAATTATTTTGAATATGATGCTCTAGTTTCATTAGTTTTATTTTAATGACTCATTTATATTTTTTATTTCGAAATTAGTTGTGATATTTTTATTTTCTTTTATTTTGGTCATTGTTTTTATTTATAATCTACTCACTGTTATTATTTTATTTTGATCTCTATGCTTTACTTTATTATATTTTAGTCATTTTAATTCTATAATTTTAATATTCTGAACTATTTTATTTAGGCCTTATATTCTGATATTTTAAATTAAATAAATATCCTACTTAGAAAAGCCTAAAAAATCACATTGTTTACGTTTTTGTTTTGTTTTCTTTGTTAAACTATATTATATATATGTCAATTTCGCTTAGAAAACATTTTAAAAATCATTAAAATGATTCATTATAATTATAATTATTTTATTATGTTTTAAGATAAGTTGTGCAAAATTTAAAAAAATTCACGACCGCGACATCCGCAATGAACGTGATGGCATCCATTATGTCCGCAACCGCGATAAACGCGACCGCTAACGCTATTTAAACCCTGGTTCTAGTACTATTGCTCATGGAAAAGTAGAGGAAGACTACAAAAGGATGCTGAATTTATATGGAGATAGTGAAGGAAGAAAGAAAATAGAAGACGAGTTGATGGGTGAAAAAGCTAATTGAAGAAATAAAGGCATTTGGGATATTTTCAATTACTTTGGCATATCTTATGGTTCAAATTCTACCTGTTGATTTGTAAGGTATTTTAGGATTAAAATTGGTCTCTTGAATTTTAAGATCCAAGTAGATATAAATATTTTTATGTTATTTCAATTTCTGTTAGGTTTGCATTGAGATCATTAAAAGCTTGAAATTCGAGGTTTTGGAGTGGAATTTGGGTCCTCTATGTCTCCCAAGTCCTATCTATTTCCTCGTGTTTCTCAAACTATGCTTCTTCTAGCAAAAAAAATTACAGAAAGACCAGTTGGCATCATGGTCTGATTTATTGGCTAAAGAGACTAAGCCTGTGTAACTGGTTAATGTAATTTACTTTGGATTCAAAGTGCCCTTTTTTTCTCTGGTTTTAGAACCTATTACAATTCATAGTTCATAAAGTGGATATTATCTTTCCGACCGAATAATTGATTAATTGCCATTTCTCCATTTTGTTGCAGGATAATGCTAATTCATTGAAAACCCAGCTTGATCAACAAAAAAGTGGCGTTGATAATCTTTTTTCTAACACACGAGTAGGTTTCTGTTTAACTTTATTTTTTGAAACTTGTTTCTGTTTAACTTTTTGACTATTAATATGATTGAAATATTATCTACTTAGATAATTTGGTTGGGATTTTTACAGTGTCATATGACTTAGGTACACTTTGTTTCATGTTTGACATGAATTGAAATATATGATTATCATGTTTTGGATATGTATGAGACACAAGCATCTAAAGGTTAAGATCTGTTTCGAATAAAAAGGCTACGGAAGAGGAAAGAATGTTGTACTAGTGCTTTGTTGATCTTGGTGTTCTGAATTATTGTTGAATTAAGAACCTGGTTAGGAGATGGAACGGAACTTCTTGCTATATATGATCCGTTAGTTAGAGGCAATAAGTCATCCTGAATAGAATTGGAGCAGTTTTAGTTACCTTATTAAGTGGCCGAATTAACAGTGGTGCTTTATCTCAGCAATGTGTTGGGAACTTGCAGGATGTCAACTAGCTTGAGAATTATCCTCTCTATCTTGCTTTGCATGCCTTTTAGCATACTTTGTAGGTCATTTTGTTAGACTGAGACAGTTTTTCCTTATAATTATGAAATGATTTTGATGAAAATAAATTTGATGAAACACGTAATACATAAATAATACATATGATAAGAGAATTTTCTATACAATTATTTTTACCTTTTTATTAGTTGTACATTGACGGGTTGTTGTGGTCGCTTTCCCTGAATTCCCTGTTGTATAGCTTTTGGAGAGCAAGATACTAGAAGCAAAGTCGAAGAAAGATACTTTGAATGCTCGTGCTCAGTCTGCCAGGTGATATCCAATATTCTCATTGCTACCTATTTCGGTGTGTTTTTTAAATTGAACTTTCTGGTCATGCTCACTTTGATGTTTCTTCAGAACTGCAACTAAAGTCAATGAGATGGTGGGAGATGTCAACCCTGACAGTGCTTTAGCAGCTTTTGAGAAGATGGAAGAGAAAGGTGAGTTTGTCTTAGGTTGCAAGCTTTTTGTTGTAAGTGAGAATTGCATTAATTTTTTAAATTATTTTCACGTGTATAGAAGGTCTTTGGAGGATGATATTCCCATTTTCATGTATATAGTAGGTCTTTGGAGGATGATATTCCCATTTTCATGTTTGGATATGCATGAATCATATGTAATTTAAAAAGAACTGAAGATTCAAAATACATTGTCTGACTCTGATATCATCCTTATCATGCACCTGATGATTTGTAATCCCTCCTTGCCAAATGCATTTCTTGAATCTTGATCACTACATACCAACCATGTCTTCTATTTTTTTTCTTTCTTGGGACAGTTATGGCTATGGAGTCTGAAGCAGAAGCTCTTGTTGCAGTTAACCACCGATGATCTTGAAGGAAAGGTAGTGACTGCTCTATCTTTATTTGCATTCGTTAAATCTGACTTTCTCTTGTTGATATGCTATAATATTTGTGATTGATGGTGGCTGGCATGATGGCTTGTTGATGGTGTAAATAGGAAACGTCAATTTAGCTGTACGTATATTCTTGAATCTTTTTGAAATAGGGACATACGATTTATATGTTTCTGTTGAATTTCTCCTGGGATAGGAAATACAGAACAGGTTTTCCAGTTAGGTCCCTGAACTGAAAATAGATGGACAGCCAATTGGATACGATAGCCTTTTTTTTGGTTGTGGTATGAAAAAGGTCATATTATTCGGGATAGGTAATTATCGTACATTGAAGATAAATCATTAGAATTTTAGTATTTTATTAGTCAGAAATTTTGGCTTTCATATTCTGGATTGTCTGCAACCTGAAATTTTGTAATAAGAATGCAAAGCTGCAATGTACTGCTGCACATATGTAGGAGCCTTTCACTTTGATAATATGATGTATTTTTCGATCCCATTTCTTGAATTTGCAGTTTGCATTACTTGAGAGCACATCGGTTGATGATGATCTTGCAAAAATGAAAAGGGAACTCTCTGGCAGCTCACAGATACGTCTCATACTTGTTTTACGAAAAATGGGATTCTGTGTGATTGTATTAGTCTCTCTTATATACATAACTTCCCCTGCATAGAGCTGATTTTAAAATTAAATTACTGGATATTGGGTGAAGAACTGAATTCAGAACTGACTGACC